GTTTTTCTGGGTCAAGTTTATTAGGGTTGTTCTAGGTCTAGTTCATTCGGGTGGAAACCCTGTATTTCTTGAAAGCAGCCCTCAGTGGCCATGTCCACAGCTGACATGGGAAATGGACTTCTCCTTTATTCTCAGTCAATGGTGTTTGTGTGTTTTCTGTACTGGGGAATCGGCAGCTGTAACCTCCCGTGTCCGTGAGAGGCCGTGTGACTCTCAGAGTCCACTTTTCCGATGCTTTAAGCTGGAACATGACTTTCATGATCCCTGTTCCTTGAGGTCACGCTTTCCTTCTCTTTCCAGGTGACATCAGAGGTTGGTGGCCAACCGGGGCAGGTGCTCGAACCAAGAAAGGACGGGGACGAAGGTGGCCCGGAGCACGCCAGGTAACGAGAGCAGCGCCGCTGCCCTGCTGCCGTCCTCGCTCCAGGGGTTATGTTCTTTCTGCAGCAGAATCCCCCGCCCTGACATCCCCACCCCACCTGCGTGCAGCCCGGAGCAGGATCCGGCAGGCAGGAGATGTCGGAGAAGGTCGAGGCTCAGCTTAAGGCGCCCTCCTAGTCAGCGTGATCCATCCTAGCCAGGCTGTGTTCTCGGGGCTCTTACTTAGAGGAACTTGTCACCTCTCACAGGTCGCTCACGTTGTACCCAGTCTACAGTTGAGAAAATCAAGGTACAGTCCACGGCCCAAGGTCGTGGAGTTATTTAATGAGGGAGCCAGGGTTCATGCTGTGTTCTCTGTCCATTCCGAGTGATGATGTGCGTTCTGGCTGCCCGGGGTACGTGCATCCGCTCCCGCCACCTGGTCTTTGTACGCAGGGTCCGAAGCAGGGCATGGAGGTCTTGCGTTGTGCAGGGAGAGCCATCAGGTGGGTGGCTTGAAGCCTGCAGGTCTAGGAAACGGAGAAAGGTGGATTGTGCCTGCCGACCTTCAATAGCTCAGAGACTGTGGGATTAAAGGGGACCTTAGTGCTTTTGGAGCTCGGCGGACTGATGTCCGGTCCTAATAAGCGTGGTTTGGGCACAGGGCCACCCCCTGACAG